GGGCAGGGTGGCGGGACATGGGCACCCTGCCATGACTGCCCCCTCCCCCACCTCCGCTGGCTCCCCCTGGAGCTGCCCTGATCCTCTGCTCCTTCTCCTGCCACCGCTCAGCTTCTGCCTGAAGGGCGAGGTGATGGACGGCAAAACGCCCGTGGTCATCGACTACACGCCCTACCTGAAGTTCACGCAGAGGTAAGAGCTGGGGTGCCCTCCCTGGGGTGGGGACCCCACCGTCTTCCCCCTCGCAACCCACCGAGGCTCAGCCGGGCTCCCCTGGCACGTGCCAGCCCCCCGACACGGTGCCGTGCCCGCTGATCCCCCGTATCCCCAGCTACGACTATCTGAGCGAGGAAGAGGAGCGGGGCAGCATGGAGAGCAGCACGAGCGAGGACAGCTCCCCCGAACACCCCTACCTGCCCCTGGTCACCGACGAGGACAGTTGGTACAACAAATGGCGCAAGATGGAGCAGAAATTTCGCATCGTTTATGCCCAAAAGGTACCGGGAGCTGGGATGGGGCCATCCAGGTACCAAACCCCCTGGGATGCTCCAGCCCGGAGCATCCCCACACTGCACCCCCGCTCCCGCAGCCCGTGGTACCCGCTGGTGCGGTGACCCTGCCCTCTCCTTGTCACCCTGGGTGGCCCTGGGGACATCGTGGGGTGCGGCGGGGGCAGCGGGGCGCTGCTGACGTGGCCTTGCGCAGGGGTACCTGGAGGAGCTGGTGCGGCTGCGGGAGTCGCAGCTGAAGGACCTGGAGGCGGAGAACAAGCGGCTGAAGCTGCGTCTGGAGGAGGTGATGGTGCAGAACCAGCTGGAGAAGAGGGAGCTGGAGGGCGTCATCCTGGAGCTGCAGGAGCAGCTGTGAGTGGGGACCCGACCGCCGCTGCCGAGGCCTGGGTGCCCTGTGGAGTCTGGGTGGGTGGTGGGTGCCCAGTGCCCCATGGACACTGAGGGGCAGGGTGAGCGGTGGGGCTCAGCACCCCGTACATGTGGGGTGTGATGAGTGGTGGGTTCCCTGTG